GTATAATATATTACTTAGGCCATAAAGATATTTATTAAATTTAAAGATGTACTCCTCCTTTCCAGGAACTACAATACCATCAAGTTGTTGCATAAAAATCTCTTCCTCAAGCACACCATTTAAGAAATTTTTAGTAACATCAATTTTCTCTAATTCATTATCATTAGAAGCAACCAATCCCAACAATACACTTATATAAGTATGTTTGATAACTTCAGAACAAATGTTAGTGTAATCAATACCAAGAATCTGAGCATAACCTTTAGCTACTAACCGAGATTTATACCTTGGTTTCTCATCTAGGTTGATATGTTCCATTAGCGTTTAGAGCCACATACATTTAACTGATCTTTTTCCTTTCAAAATAGAAACTAAATCCTTAGTACCATTTCTTTGCAAGGACTCCACCTCACTTTGCATAACAGTCACCCAATCACTTGAGTCTTTAGACTAAATAGCCTCATCATAATTTATAGGCTCCATTCCAGACCTAATATCATAAGCAAAAATAAAGGCATAAGTAACACGATCAACTTTAAAATACCTCTTTGGAGGTACAACTTCTCTTCTCGGTCTATCTATTGCAACGCATCGAGTAGGAGCTCGTGGTGGTGAAGATGTTGACTCTTCAACAACAATGGCTTCATCAGATGAGTAAGACTCTTAATTTAAATACTAAACTTGGGAATAGAAGCGGAAGGTAAAGTTGGAAGCTCCGCCTCTATTTAATCTTTCTATTTACTTGCTTATGATGATGCATCTGTACTTTTAGAAGAGTCGCCAACTAGTTAAATCATATCAAGCTTGTAAAAAGTAACATCTCTTGACATTATAACTTTCTTCATATTTGAGCTCGACTGCTTTTACCCTTTTACATATTTAGTTACTCTCCATTCTAACTCCTATTTTCAACTCGTGCATAAGTTGGACATCCAAAAGTTTTTAAATCTATGTAATCATAAAGTGGTCCTTTCATTGTATGAATATCACTCTTAAATCTCACATGTTTTGCATTTCCATATACACAGTCTTCACAAAACTTTATATCAATAATGTTTTTTCACCAAGTAATCCTCTTCAAGTCAATTTCGTGATGCCTTGAAAACTTATATATTTGGGTCGAAGGTGTTGGATTAGGTGTCTAAACCTATAACTATAATTGGTATGTATTTGACCCGAGAATAGTATGGTCTATTTGGGTTGCCTTCACCAAAACAATCTGATAGGATGGATATTTCAGAAAGAGGTTATTTATGATTTGTTAACATATTATAAGTATAATATATTAACTGCGAAATCATATTATTGAATTCGTATTGATCAAGAAATAATTTGGAATTAATTTAGTGATCAAAAGAGACTAATTAAATTAACGGGGACTGATTATGTAAATCAGTGATATATATATATTATATATATATATATATATATATATATATATATATATATATATATATATATATATATATAGTTTGGGATATTTATCCATTTTGGGCTAAGTTTATGTAAGTATCCATGAAGAGTTTACCCACATGAGATATGGATCATAACCTAAGTGTATGGATTAGGGTTTACCCCTGACTCTTGGAATCCTACACTATATATGTATTTCCCTAAGGCTAAAATGGGACCTAAGTGTTCTAAGAGAACCATAGCTTATTTTTGGTGGTGCTTAACCTCTCTTTCAAAGTCCTCCTTTGTTCATGGTGTTTGTGAACCATTTGAGGCATTAAACTTGAGGTTCTAAACTCTTGAAAGTCCAAAACTACAAGCTATAATAAAGAGGTATTCTTCTAATTTGATTTTATGATTCATGTACCAAAATTTTTTTTTAGTCGTAGGCTTCAAGCTTAGGAAATTTTATTGCATGTATAACTAGAGAAAACTTAGATCCAAAGCTATTAGGGTTGTATGTTCACCATAGGAATATTATAGTACACAAAACCCAATAGTGGTTTCAGAGCCATGGGTAGTTTTATGTTATATAGTTGCATTATTCATTGTTTAAAGTTGAAGCAAACTGAAAATGGCCTTTTGCCACGATGAACTCTTTGAGTCCATTGATGAAAATGACGAGTCCAAAGCCTGGCTCGACGAGTTGCACTGGCAGATGGCTGATTTTTGGGTTTTTTTAGGCAAGATTGGATTGGAATCACCACCACAAATTGTTTTGTATCATAAAATCTGTTTTTTCTGATATGATAGTGATTATAATCCAATCAAAAGATAATTGTCAATGTTTTAAGATAATTGTCGCTTTGTATTTTAAACAAAGTTACTTGAAAATTGTTTATTTCATATTATCTTGCTATATGAGTTTAGTTAGATCAATCATGAATTATATGATAATTTTATTTGTTGAAATTGGTCTAAATGTTTTTTTAATGAATTCCATAGCTTGTCCTCAAGTTTTTGAACATGAAAAGTTCCATCCATTAAAATAACATTAAACTCATAAGTTGTGGAATTCAAGAGGCTTGGATGATTACAAAACTTATCATCAAGTTTTGGAATCCAAAATGTTTTTAAGAGTTTCAAAACTTGCCCTCAAGTTTTGGAATTTGAAAAATTCAATTAAAAAAGTTTTAATTTGTAATATTGAATTCTAAAACATCTAGTAACTGAAAGGTTTTAAAAGACGCATCTCTTGGGTTCATAACTTAAAAATTAATTAAATAGTTTTAATGTTGAATTTTAAATAACCTAGATGCTTTGAATAGTTCAATTACACCTTATGGACTTTATTAAATTCATTAAAGTATTTAATTAAAAGAGTATTAATAAATCCATAATTATATGGTTTGAATTTAATTAAATTAAAAGTCTAGTTTAATTAAAAGACTCAACCATCTAGTATTTTAAATGTTTAAAACACACCCTTATACTATATAAAATTAGAAGTTTAATAAATTATATATGTATAAGTAAAAGGTCAGTCTTACCATTAGTAGGCCTCATTCACGAAGCCGGTCTATAAGGGGGTATAAGGTTACTGCCTATAAAATGGTGGTTTAATTGGTGTCCACTCTTACCCACCGCTTCCTTGATCGGTAGAGGGTCGTTAGTCGAACGGGTAGGATAGGACATTAATTCTCATTAAAAGAATAATGAAATATCAAGTAAATAAATAGTTTTATAAATTATCAATCTTAGTTACTTACGAAAAATGTGAATTTGATGCAAACCCATGAAATTGCACATTGCACCTTATTAGTCATTAGTGGAGCGTGTGTAGTTAATCGACACTAATATAAGACTAGTGAAGGATGGCAATGGGTAGCTCGATGTTAATCATGGATCACTGGAGCATGTGTGGTTAACCGACACATTGATTAGGTGATTTGTAACATTAAGTGTACCAAGCTAATTTGCATGGTTATTCACACCTTGCTTGTGATCCTCGACATCCCAGTCACAAACTTCATGGGCATAATCGAGATTTAAACATGCCATTGAAAAGTTCAATGGATCTCAAAAGAATCTTGGAATTTCAATTCATTTAAAATCTAAAATTCCTTTTCGTTTTTCATGGTGGAAATTGGTAAATCGTCATTTACCTACCTTCAAATATTTTACCCTTGGATGACGGCATCCCTCTTCCGAATTGTAAAATATTGTGTTGGGTCCTAGCCTTAATATTTTGTTTTGGGTGTTATATTAAGAACTTAAATCATCTAACTTAAATTTCTCCCATTATAGATGTCTAGGTCAGACAACTATGGTATTCCCAAATCTTTTGGAAAAAAGCTTTCCTTATGAAAATGATGTCTGGAAACGAAATCATACTTCACTTCCTTTACCTCCTCTAATAATTCTCCGTAACCCACAAATTCAACGACTTGAAAAGTTCAAGGTCTCTCAAGCCCTATTGGCAAGCCAACACCAAGATGGAAAGTTTGTGTATGCACATGTCTTGGAGATAAAGTCACACATTGACATGCTGGGAATGTTAGGAGTCGTTGTGTCAAGGAAGTTGGCTATTGACTTGGTTCTACAGTCACTTCCCGAGTCGTATAGTCCATTTGTTAAAGACTACTATATGATAGACCGCGACATGACCCTTATTGATCTGACCTATTGGTATATTGGTAATGCAAATTTGACTGGAAGATCTACATTCCAAACTTCCATGGAAATTGACAATGGTGACATTGGAAGTCCATAAAGACTTCTCCTTCCAAAGGAAAGCGAAAGGCTAAGTCCGTGATTGTCCCATGTACCATTCCAAAAGAGTCTGTTGTTTCTATTGCCAAGAAAAAGGACATTGGAAGTGAAGCTGCCCTGACTACCTAAGAGATCTAAGAGATGGTAGAATCAAATTGTATGTTCTACTTCAGGTAAGTTAACCATCTAACTCTATTAAATTCCTATTTGTAAATTCTTATTACATGTTTCAATAAGATTACATATTGATGTTCTGTAGGATCAAAGGAAGCTTAAAGGAAAAGTATGCCGAGTCTGATCATGAAGACGTGGATTTCGGTCGCGTGGTTTGATGATCAGAATTTTGAGTTGCTATTTAGGATATATGACAAATTTCTTAGGAATATTTAGAAAAATGGTATTCATATGTACTTGCATTGTAAGGAAAGGTTTTCCGCATGTTATAAAATAGAGAAAAAATTGATTTGATTTTATTTTATATTTCCTTGCAATGACATTTGTTAAAAATGGTGTTTGTATATTGTTAGCAAAATTCAAAATGGATTTGATTCTTTCGTTTGTGGTAGTGTCATAATTTACCAAATAAGGAAAGATTCTCATCACCCAAGTTTCAATTAGATAGAAATGTGGAATCATGCAACTTGTATTGCTTGATGAATGAGAATTTTCATCTTTGGGAAATTAAGACTAATTCCTGTTCATATACATGTGAGTAAGTGAAGGACTAGGGGATCTAGTACATGTGGTTGTGCACTGGTCAGGTCTACTACAA